CCCCCCCCCCCCGGGGCGGGGGGAACCCCTGGGGGTTCCCCCCCCCTTTTGGGGGAAGGGGGGTAAACGTTCGAGGCTCTCTGCCCCCCCGAGTTGTGGCACCCCCCCCCCCCCCCCCCCCCCCCCGCTCCCCTGCAATCTCAACGACTTTGTCTAGGCGGTTATAGCCGCGAGCAACAGGTTGAACGTTTCCTGGCGGAAGGAGTACTTCAACAAGTGGTGACGGGAAGGCGATTGCGTGGAACCGGCTTCGTAGCTTAGGTCATAGCTGCTTCGGTTAACCGGCTGCCCGTCCCGCGAGAAGATGGTCGAGATCGAGGAGGCCAGAAATACCTCGAAAAAGCGAATCCGAAAGACTTAGGTTCTCTGAGTTGTCGAAAAACACGATTCATTGCTACGCATGGCGCGTGCAATGAGTGCCCCCTTTCTCGAACCACGTGCCTATCGCCCATCCACGGCCGTCAGCATCATTTTTTTTCATTCTTCAAAGGCAACAACTACAACAACATTGGTCCACCATCAAAACGTACTGCCACGTTAAACAATACCGAAACTCATGTTTTGTGTCGACATCCATCTTCTTCGGACATGTACATTCGTTTCGCATGTTTGACGGATGCTTTCTGGGCCAGGACGAGACCGCACGGATGGGAAAAGACACGCCATACGCAACCCGCAATCTGGGACGCTTCTGTTGCGGTTCTACGCCTTGATGCGTGTCTCTGCAAGATCACACGTTCTCGCTCTTCCTACAATATCGTTCCACACCTATTGTGTGTCTCTACACCGCCTAATGCGTCTCTGCAAAATCACACGTTCTCGCTCTTCCTGCAAAATATCGTTCCACACCTACTGTGTGTCTGTATACCGCCTAATGCGTCTCTGCAAAATCACGCGTTCTCACTCTTCCTACCTTTGCCACGCCATACCTACCTCTCGGGTGTCTTTACCAAAAAAATCACACCAGCTCGCCCTCCCTACAGCAGTTGCTAGCCAGGTGTCCTACAACCCGTCATGCACTGCCCTGCCGCGAACTCATCGCGTATTTTGGCGTTTGGTGTCAACGGCCATGTGCTTTCATTCTGCGCCTCAAAACACGTGTGCGCTTTTGCTCGCAGTACTATCGGTGACTGTTGGCATCGAAGACATCCAAAAAGCACCAGCAGGGTTTCCGTGTCCCGCGCTCACACACCAGGCAGAAGACGCGCGTAGCCTGTTCGGCCGGAACAACCTAAACAGAAAAACCTTGCCCCCTGAGAACAGGGTGGTGGCGGAGCTTGCAGACGGATGCAAAGCTTTCACCACTTGGAGAAGTACTCCTTTCGCCATGCCACGTTGAGCCCCTCACTCGCTGTTTGCACAGCCTGAAGATGGGAACAGTAGTAGGAAGAGGCGCGGCAGCAGCAGCACCAGCGTTTTTGCAGTCTGCAACTAAACACTCAAGATTGTCCACACCTGTTGGACCCTCACACACAAAGAGCACCTCCCGGTGTGTACTCAAAAAGCATACGTCGGCACCCCCAACTATCTTCTCATCATCAAGTCACACAAAGAGCAAACACGATTGCCCCCGTCCCCCATGTAAACGCTTCGCATCGGCGGCCATTTCATTGGTCCCCACGCCGAACCACCCTTAGCAGGATGCAGCGCACCCTCCATGCGACTCGCCAAATACCTCGCGGCGCTTCGCCCCTGGTGATGACATAGCCTGGTCCGGTGAAACCTCGGCGTGCTCTTTCCCGGATTGGCAGAGATGTGTGGTCAATGGTATAGCGACTACGGCATGCATGGCTATGAGTACACACCCAACGCACCTGCTCGACCTTGCCGTTGGCGCCGCAGTACAACACCAGCCAACTCTTCTCGTCCACACAGCCGACGGACCCATTGTTGGGGATGTCCGAATTCGGCATATCGAACCCGGTTACACCGGACACGGAAGACGGCTGCGCGCAGCGGCCATGACGCAGAGCATGAGACAACCAAGAACGGGGGGGGGACAAAACGGGATTTTTAAAGGCCGAGACACGAGGGCCAGTACGCTAGAAACTCCTGGCCAAAGGAAGCGTTTGCGTTCTAGGCCGAGGCGACGATCGCACACCCTTGAGCAGAGCACCCCTTGGGTAGCCGAGGGGGAGCGTGCCCATATGGTGCATGCCAAGCTGTTATAATAGACCAATGACCTGTGCATTCAAAAGATGAACTGGCGTTCGAAATGGCCCGGAAAGTGGCGATTTTCGTGCCAATAGGGACCTGAGGGGCGGCAAGGTATTCCCTCGGTGATCGCGATGCACACAAACGCACACGCAGCAGCTGCAACAAAGCCCTCCCTTCCCCATCCTAAAGCAAAGCAACACCTCATCAATCAACTCTTCCAAGAGCGATGAGCTCGCCTGAGCCGTTACTGCTCTGTCCATATCAATATTTATTCCATTCGCACCAGAAAGGATAACGTCAGGAAACCTCCGAGGCTACGTTCTCAACAATTGTTTAGGGAAAAGGCTGACCTTCTTCGACTTGGCAAGGCTGGAGTCCACTACGGTGAGGTCGGCTTCCATCAGGTCCCTCTTCGAGATGCGTTGCCCGGTGTTCAGCCTCGTCAGCATCTGGACAGTCAGACAGACACGCGCACACAAGCCGGTTCAAGGAAAGAAGAAGATCCTGGTACTCAGCTTGGTACGGCCCAGGACGCAATGGGTGTCACGGGGAGGAACTCACCACTGATAACGTTCGTTCGAGACCTCGAAGTTACGAGGCGTTGACACATAGGACAGCTATGAACGTACCCGGAGCGCATTGGAACGACGTGGAACGCCGCATGAGACCTTGGCCTGTGTGGCCGTCGCTAAATCTGCGATCTGGTATGCATATATTCCGCTCACGTGTCACCACCCTTTTCTCCGCCATCAACTCTACAGCACGCACGGGAACGGCCAAGGTACGCAAAGCCAGTGAGAGCGTGTGTATCAAACTCCCCAACAATCCCTGCCACAAACAGCAGGTACTGATGACTCTCCGAGTGTCTCCACCCCCCCGAACCAACCAACCACCGTGAGCAGCATGAGACGCATTGTACTCCCGAGACGCACACCTGTCGCAACCCGCCGGCGGTGGGCTGTTGCCGTGGCGACGAAGACGAAGGCGCCGGCGGCCGCGAATCGACGGGGGGCGCCCACTGGGCCACGACGGCGGTGCCCCTGACGGTGCCCGTGATGAACGCTGCGATGTCGGGCCTCCCGAAGTTTAGCGATACCGGGTGGTACCCGCGCGCGCGCTGCAGCTGGCCGGCGGACGGTTGGCCGCGGTGTCGCTTTTTCGACGCTGCTGTTCGTTCCTCTTCTTCCTCTCTCCGAGCGGCGGCAGCCTGGGGGAAGAACGTGCATGCGTGTGCATGCGTTCGCGAGAAACAAACGATCAGGGAAGGGCTTGCTCAATAGCGCTTTGCATCACCATGCCTCCTGTTACGGAAGTCGAAAACCGGCAGTGGGGCGTAGTACGAAGTTCGCAGGGCAATATCCCCTCTTGCCGAATCTTCCCCTCGAAAGTTTTTTTTTTTCATCTTTTTCTCAGGGTTGTAGATAGGTGTTGTGTTTGTCCACGAGAGCTCTCCGAAGGCGCGATACACACACGTTACCGGAACAGAACCACGTCCACAAGCTCCTGCAACTCTATTGCTCTTCGGTCACTATTTTCTCATACCGTTCTATTCGGAGGAAAAGCAACCAACACCCACCAAAGACCATGGGGGCGATGCTCCGTCACACCGAACAACTCTTCGCGAACTACCAACACACCTCGGTGCGCCCCATCCCCCCCAGAGCGCTCCCTCCGTGCGCAGAAGAAACCCCCAGCGCGGACCCTTCCCCTCCCCCCAGGATGGAATCGCCCCCCCAGGCGGAGTACCCCATCACCGACCCGTCTCCGCCGTCGTCATCCCTGTCCAACGAACCGCGCTCCGTCCTGCCGCTGCCCTCGAAGTCGTCCTTCAGCACTCCCAGATAGTCGTCCAGGTCTGCGTTGAGGTTCGAGACCTCTGGCCCGCCGCCGCCGCCGCCGCCGCCGCGCCCGTCCTCGAGAGCGCACGCGGGGTCCCCGCGCAATGAAGACGATCTGGAGGTGGAGGTGCCCGCGTTGGCGGCCACGACGTCGCTCCTCGACGGCGCGAGGAGGTCCACCATCCGCTTCTTCGTCTTATTCGTCGGTTTCCCGGTCAGGTAGACGGTGCTCTTGACGCGGCGCAACTGTGTTTCGGCGGTTACAGTATTGATTGAGGAGGTGGTGGACAGACCAGGGAAGGGGTCGAGAGGGGGGGGGGCGCTGTGTGGGCGGCGGCGGGGGGCGCGACAGACAGCGGTCCGCGAGGCGATCCATATCCCCTCCCGAGAACATCTCGGCATGAAAACATGAAACCACATGGCTGGCCGACGACGCTATGCCCGAATCTATGGACACTGAAGGTATAGCTGGCCGAGGAAGTATACTTCAACCACAAAAAAAAACAAGAGAGAGGTGTACCCGACAGGAGCACGCCCTGGCCAACCAACTACGGGTTATCGTACAAACGTTCTTACGCCTCCCAACACGGGTACAGCCTACAGCACCTTGGCTGCGCTGGCTACCTTGTCCCCACCACAAACTTCGCGTTCTAGCTAATAAGAGGAAAATAATCTACCCGTTCTTCGAGCACCAACTTAAGCTTGCTCCGGCGGAAAAACCGATGGAAGGTCTATCCAACACCGGGATTTTCTCCCAAACAATACCCCCAAGAAGAGAGCACCGGTAACGGAGGGTCTGGTCCGTTGCGGCGTCCATGGACACGGCACGAAACACCTGTTTCACATAAGCACGCCCACATACACTCGGTAGACACATGTGCGTCTCTCTTCATCTGCTGCATTTTCTGTCCTAGAATCCGGAGAATAGCCAAGCCTCTCGGGTCATGGCGAAGCGCTTTTCGACTTTAGCCGCACCGAGACTGACGAATTTTCATCAGTTGGCCGGTTAGCGCGGTCAATGCCAATGAAAATCCATTAAGTGGTTTGGTGTGTTGGTGGTGTAATCGGTTCGGAGTAAACGCGAAATAACAACAACACACGAACACACTACACAAACCTGTTTCTCAAACATGGCGACCATCCCCGCGTCGCGGCAGCACCACAGGAGGTGGATGTTCTTTTTCTTCTGGAACCTGAGACGCATCAGATTGTGCATTAGGACATCAGCATTGGTCACACGCACACATGCATACGCACCGGATGGCGGTGTGTGGCGTTCGCAATGACGCTAAGAAACCAAGACTCAAAGCGAGAAACCCCGAACCCTTGGGGGAAGAAACGCCGGGGAGGTATGCACAGTACCCATTCTTTCGTGATGCTATTCCCTGTAGCATATTCGAACCGCTGAGACGCGGATCTCGACGATGCACACTCGCTCACGGCAGGGAAAATACTTCAAAAACAAGAGCCGGAAGAGCGAAGGCCAACCCGCAAAACCATTCGATGGAGCAACTTTTAGATGTTATTATAGTAGTAGCGCGCCGCACTGCGTCGAAGCGGATGGTCCTTGTTGAGCGGGGGATGAGTGTACCGCAATCAACGTCATCGACGGTGGACGCTTGCACTGGTTCAAGCTCGATTGCCTCCGATATGCTCGGTTCTGGAGTGTCGTATATGACACGAGATAACACCCCCCCCCGGCGCGCGCGCACATGACGGCGCCCGAAAGACATGTTGCGGGTCAACATGAGCCCAAAACATAGACCAACTCTCAGAACCATGCAATACGGCGACAGAAGATACCACCCCCCCTCCCCACAGTAACACACCCCGTGAAAAAAAAAAACTTAAGAAGCCAAAACGTTAGATATCAACCGGGGGGTGTTTTCTTGAGTGGTATGCGGCACAATCCTAGCGTAAGCTCGCAGCGGAATTTCGCTCAACAGTTTAATGGGTCTTGCATAGAGCGAGATAGACGGTCACCTCTCAGCGACGGATACGGCAGGAGTGATGCCCGCTCCAGTACAGACGAGCAACACTTCGCGGCGTTCGGTCCGGTGGATAGCCGACCGTTCGTTAACGGCGGCGGCGGCAGCAGCAGCAGCAGCGCAAAAGGAAACACACAGCAAGGACGCGGCAGCCACAGGGGGGGAGTTGCTGTCAGAAGACGGTGACCATTAAAAGGGTTGGAACCCCTCGACGATAAAAAAAAACACAGGCAGCTGAATTACATGGATGGCACCACCAGTTCTATTGGCGAGAAGAGGGCAGGCTTAGTTGTTCCCTGTCCATGAGCAACGCTAATGTCCAGTCCTCCGGGCAAGCGTTTGTGTCTCGAGAAAGCCTGCCTCTGCACGCTATCATCATTGCTGCCCTCCTTGCGCGGGCGGGGTGACATGGGACACACACACGATCCGCTTTTTCATCGCTCGATTCGTCTTCAAGCCCCCATCGACGCCGCGTTCTTACCGTTGTCGAAGTACATGGTCTTCTCCACCACGCTGGGCTGCGCGGCCGTGATCCACAGCGGCATTTGCGGGTTCTCGAGGCAGAACCGGAACATCTCATTCGTCCAGTCGCCCACCTGAAGCCGTACGTACAAGCGCTCTTACTAGTTATTTAGAACAATCAATCGTCCAGTCGCCCACCGGATGCGATTCAGTCATTCGCGGGGCGCACAAAACTCCTACAAAAAAAAAAATCGAGAGAAAACGCACACGCAGGGTCGGAAAACTATCACAAAAAGTACAAGGCCCAACATCGAAACAGATATCCGTACGTACGTACCACCCTCAGATACAAGAGCGGCCCGGAGAGAGGGCCTACCGTTTTGAAGGGAGGGAAGACAGCAACGACAACGCCAATCGATGCACACTCCATCCCTCGACAGCCGACGAAGGGGGAAAGTTTCGCCGGTGTCTCGCGGAAGAGGTTCCCCTACAGCAATGCACGTGATTCCCCCGCACACGTGTGTCTGTCTGGCTTGCGGCTACGTTTACAACACCTCAATGCGGAAAAGTTAAGCTTGTCGATGTAATAACCTCACGCCTTCTCGCACAAGGGAAAGAGTTCGAAATGCATCCTTCTTGGGGTACAATAACCGGGGCTCCGTAGAACAGATCTCCGGTACCCACCCACTGTTATGGGAGAGCACGCACGTCCTCGTCGTTGGTCGTTACTAGAAGCTTCGTTATCCTCCACACTCACCGCCTCCACGTGGAAACCCGCTCTTGGGCGGGACCCCGGCACCGGGAAGAGGGAGAAGGGGTGCCACTCGGACACGCTTATCGCCGGGCAATTCACCTGGACGTACGCGCCGGGCTTGTACTGGTACCCGCTGCCGAACCACGAACAAGTAACACGGAAAATCGAGACGATGCACCATAAGTCGGTCGAAGCCTAGACTAAACAGGTGGGCGTGTTGTTGTCATGTATCCGGTGTTTCGTCAATGCTCAGGTTTGGGATAGTGGCGGGGCATGAGGTACGAATATCAAATCCGAACTCTACGACGTGCGTGTACCCCTGTAACAATCCTCTTGTCGATGACGGTCACCCACGATAAGTTCGCAGACTTCCCCGCCAGGTTTCTACCCCAATTATAGTGGCCGGTTTCAGGTGGGGGAAAGGAGCACGAGCAGCATGCCGCCAGTCGACGGGCGAACCATCCCGAGAACCGCAACACACAGGCAAGGGTGACGCCAACACTTCTCTAACACACAGACAGACGTAACAACAAAAGGGTGATGCCGGCACTTCCAACATACACACAGGTGTAACAACAAACACAGACAGGAACGAGGAGCAAGTCCGCCGAGCGTAGCGGCGGACCCTGACTCACGGAGGAAGCTCGAACCGGACAAGAGTGCCCCTCCCGACCGGCTTGTAAACCGGCGAGCTCAGAAGGAAAGTCCTGCGAGGTTTCCATCGAATAGGGGGCGGGCGGGCGGGCGGGCGAGCGGCAGTTGGGGGGGGGGGGGGGGTTTCCATCCCCCCTGCTGCTTCCGTGTGGTGCCTGTTGGCCTGCCCCCC